GGATATTGTGGTATGGAGAAGGCATCCACCAATTATCTTATGTCCGTGGGGAATCTAAGTTCTCAGATCATAGACCAGTTTATGGCACGTTTTGGGCTGAAGTTGAGTCAAGCCGTGGCCGATTGAAGAAGAGCACGAGTTACTCTACTTCGAGGATTGAGGTAGAGGAGCTTTTGCCGTATGCGCATGGATACACCGACCTAAATTTCTTCTAAAGGAGGTAAAACAAATTCCTGCACTCAATACACCTTTGTGATTGTTGTCCTTGGACCTTAATCCTTTACTCCCATAGCTTTTAAACATAGAAAAGGCACCAACGTATCGTCTAAGAAACCGAATCACGGTCATTTAGCGGTAAGATTGTGAGAATCTATTTGAAAAACCAGATCTGAAAAAGAAAATTTACTCCGTCATATAACATCGGAAGTGTTCGATATTTTTGGTATTTTTTCTCCATCTAATTTTCCTTGACAAGAGCCATTCTTTTCCCATGTGCAGCTAGGAATCACCGATGATGATGTTCACTCATAAGGGCGACATAGACACTCCATTGCTTACTAACCAATAAGGTTGGTTCTTTCTTCGTTTCCTTTTCGACTCACTGTTTATCGGTTTCTTTGACTAATCCGGTTTCCATGTTCATTGATCAGGTATATACTCTGTAATCGATAGGTTAACTAACTCGAACCACTGATTAACAAAAATCAACTTCAAATGCATCTCAAAGCAAGCTCCGTACCATATCGATAATTCTTCACAACTAATAGGTACTTATGATTACTTCTAAATTACTCAAAAAGTTTAAAACCAGCTTGCTTATGTGATAATAACGCAACATTTTTTTCGGTTTTGCAGGAAAGAAGCTGCATTAACACGAACTGCGAACCGAGGGTACTCAGAGATTGTTTTGTTTCACAACTTGTTAGTTTTAGGGAAATTCTTTTTGATGAGCTGAAGAAGATGATATGAATACTTCATTAATAGAAGAAATGTAAAGAACCAAAAGGAAAAGTGGGAATATAAATCAGAATGCATGTCTTCTCCCAATGCTTTTTTGCTAATGATTTTGCTGAGAAAAAGTTGGTTTCATTCATAATGGAACATCTGCACTGCCATTTTTGTTTATTTTACTTTATTTGCAGGCTCGGAAGCCATGAGTAAGAGCTTTGTCTTGTGTTTTGTTGCATCATATTATTAGTTTGTTCTTACTTGTCTGGGATGTAGAGAAAGTAAAAAAGCTAGAGTGGGGCATCTACTAAAAAGCAAAAGTGGGGAAATATTCCCATCACCTTTTATTATAATTTTCTGGGTAAATTATGTATTTAATACGTAAATATCACTTTGGTCCGTTTTGATACCTACACTTTTAATTTTTTCAAAACCATACTTAACGTAACTCAGTTTTTTAAAATTTAGTTTTTGTTTCGTATCTTGTCGTTAAATATTTAACTATCAATTTAAATATTTAACTTTCAAATTGCTCTTATTTTAATCACTCTATTTTATTTTATTAATAAATTTTGTGATGTGGCATTTTTTATTATTATTTTATTAATAAATAATTAAAAATAAAAATAAATAATTTTAAAAGTTAGATGATTGAATTAGGAGTAATTTGAAAATTAAATAATTAAATTAAAAAAATTAAACTTTAGTGTCCAAATAGGAGTGAGAAGATAGTTGAGTGATTAATGATGTAATTTACCCATAAAAAAGTGTCACGTGAAACCACTTGTGAAACTTTTAATGACAATGTATTAAAATAAAACAAAAAATAAACGTTAGATATAATTTTAAAAAAATTAAAAATTTTGATACTAAATGGATCATAACTAATGATTTAAATATTTAATACGTAATCTACCCATATTTTTTAAGGCGAAGGTTAAACTTTTATCATACTGTCAAAAAAAATCATGCTAAAAAATACTCCATCCGTTCTATTTATATTATACATTATTTATTTTTCACGTAATTTAAAAAAATATGTAAGAGATATGTTGTAAAAAATTAAAATTAAAATTTTATCTTTAAAAAGTTAAATTTTATTTTATAGGAAACTGATAAAAGGATAAAAAAGGAAACGTGTCTAGTAAAAGTTGTTAATTTTTTCAAATGAAAATTTTAAATAAAACAATTTTAAAACACAAAGAGACAACTTTAATTGGAGATAAGAAGCACTATAATTTTTAACTTGTATGATAAATTTATGAACCAAAAATATCTATCAAATACTAAACAATATACATTCACACATTTATCCTGAATTTTAATTTTTTCGATTAGTTACTTATTTTGTTGATGGTGTCCACTCCGAAAATTTTCGTGCCCACCCTGCAATCCGAGTTTTCTTCGATTAATTACTTATTTTACGGGCGGTGTCCACCCTGAATTTTTTTTTTGTATTCATCTCATTTAATATTTTTTATATTGTTAATATATGTGTACCCACCCTGAAATTTGAGTTTTCTTCGATTAATTACTTATTTTACGAACATTGTCCACCCTAAAATTTTATTTGTATCAATCCCATTTAAAAATTTTATATTGCTAACGTATATGTGTCATCATCTTCTGCAACATACGTGCACCTAAGTTGTCATATTGTCAAAGTACAATAAGGATGACCTAGTGGAGCGGTTGCCTCCTCTAAAAATCTAAAATTATATATATTTTAAATTTTTTTATATTTTTTTATTAAAATCTCCTAAAATTTTATACATTCAAACCGTCTCCCAACTTAAAATTTGCCTCTGTCATTGAATGTAGATAAATATCAACTCATCGTTTACTCGATAACCGGGACATAAACTCATCGAACTCATCTCCATTTCACCTTACAAAAAAAAAAGTTTAAACTCAGCTGAGTTCACATAAAGAAGACATCTGCAAACAAAAAAGCTTGTCCTAATCCTGCCCGTATGTACCCCCACACTTTTCACCTTGCATGTTAATGTCTTCAACACGTAGATGAAAATTCACATGCAAAAAGGTTATTATGATATTATCTTCCACCTTTAAATACAGTACAGTCACTGCTATTATCACCACAAAGTGAAAATCAAACATAGCTTAATAGCGTAATAATGGTGAGGAATAAGTTTCTGTTCATCGTTTTGCTCTCGTCTCTTCAGCTGACATTCTCTGCAAGAGAGGCGAGGAGGATCCTGAAACGCGATTTGACGAGTGCCGGAGGCGATGCTCATCGGAGACTCCTGGACAAAGGAAGCAAGCTCGGTGCCTAGAAGAATGCAGAAAGAAGCTATGGAAGGAACGGGAAGAAAAAGAGCGCCGCCGCCGTGATCTGAGCCCCGACGATCCTCAAAAGGAGTACTCCGAAAGTCGGAGGCGGTGCGGAGAACAAGAACAAAGTCACCAGCCACAATGCCAACAAAGTTGCCTGAAACAATACGAGCAAGAAGAACAGCAGTCTCAAAGGAAGCAGCAATATGTATGAGACAGTGCAGTGAGTACAGTGGTGAAAAATCAACATAGTTTCTATGAATTATTCATAAAACTAATAAATACAAATATATATATTCAATTTATTTATATTCACCAAAAAGTTTGTTTGAAAGTTCGTTTATTGACTTGTCTATAACTCATGGAAGCAATCCAAGAACAACCCATGTTTTTGATGATTTCATCGTTGAGACCTGTTGTGGAGTTGTGGGTTTATCTTCTTCAAAGAAAGAGAATGGATCATTCATGGGTGATGATTTCCTAAGCTTCTGTTTCACTTGCAGGAAGAATCTCTCTCCAGGAAAAGGCATCTACATGTATAGGTTAGCCTCGTCTTCGGTTTAGGGTTGAGGGTTTACTATTTCAATCCAGTTTTGATATTTCATTTTGCAGAGGGGAGAAAGCATTTTGCAGCAAAGAGTGCAGGTACCTAGAGATGATGCTAGACGAAGGAACACATAAACCATCTTAACAGCTTCTGTTCATAAACCATGGTGAAAGTTATACCATCTTCCTCAATATATTACTCACTCTGTCCCACTTAAATTATTCTTTATTGATTTTTTATCATTTTTTAAAATTTTAGTTCATTATTATTTAAAATTTATTATTGCTAAAAATATGAAAAATTATATTTTTGAAACATTTAATCAAGTAATTTTGAAATTTATATTTAATAAAATTTAATTTTTAAAAGTCAATTATAATATTTTTTATAAGATGGAGGTAGTATTTTCTTGCTTATAATCCATTGAATCAATAATATGTTGAAATTAAAAATTCAATCTTTGTTCTTTGACACAATTAGGCATTAAACTCACATTGAACTTAACTAATTAATTGGAACTTGAAAGGGATGTTTTCAGTAAATAATAATAATAATAATAATAATAACGACATCAATATTTTAATCAAAGTAAATATGATATTAAGTGTTCGCTTGATACTTCCATTAATAAGTTGGTAGTTTGATCTAATAAACTTAATAGATGCACTTAAATTAGCGTTAAGCAAAATAGTGCATCACGATTAGGGATGGGTATGCAATGGTTGGGATCAAGTTTTCGGTTAATGAGATCTAAAAATATAAATCATCCACTTAAACTTAACCCGACTCGAGTTTAGAGATGATTTCAAGCGACTCCAACTCAATTTGATTTTTGAGATAAAACCGAATCTAATCTGACTCGAAATAAATATTTTTATAAAATATATTATTTTTATTTAATAAAAACAAGAATCTAATTGATAAATAATATATAAATGATTATTATTTTATTTCTAAATATATAAGATAAATTTATTATTTTTTAAGTCGATTTAAATCAAGTATCTTTACGTAAAACCACCAGAATTCAATTCGACCCGACCATATTTTCTATAAAACTCAATCCGATCTAAACAACTGACCAAACCTGAAAACTTTTTAAAAATCTAACTCAATGAAATACTGTAGAAGGACAATTTAGTAACTTCGGTCACAAGAATTCCACTAAACGTCAACGCTTTAAATTAAAAAGTCCGGCAAGCCACCGATCTAAAGGCTCCAAATTCTTTCTCCTCAAGCTCCATCACTCCCTCCCAAATCCCCATTTTGCCTTCTCTTTGTCTCATCCCAATCGCCAGCGTAAACCGATTGCTTTCTTCGCAATCGACGCCTCTCACCGCCGCGTAATCCGTCGTAAATTGCTTCGGTAAATGAGCAGTATGTCCGTCGCCCTCCCGCTTTCCTCCAGGGAAGACGAGCCATTTGTAGATGCTAGAATTAGTAAGTCTAATTTTTCATTTCTTTACAAAAAGAAAATGAATAGAAGAATTTGAATTTAGTTCTGGTTTTTTTTAATAAGGTGCTGGTGATGGAGACGCGTTAGCAATTGGGATGGAAGAAGGTACGAGAACTTCGACGAGTTCGAGCTGGAATTCGAGGAAAAAGAACAGCAGATTGAAATGTTTCGGCGTCGATCTGTCGCCGGACAATGTGGCGGTTGCTATGGTGTATTTTGTTCAAGGCGTTTTAGGCCTTGCAAAGCTTGCTGTTAGCTTTTATTTGAAAGATGATTTGCATCTTGATCCTGCTGAAGTATGTTTCTCTCCCCCCTCCTCTTAAGGTTCAAGCTATTTTTGTTGATAATTTAGCACTTGTTTTAAGTTGAATTAGGCTTGGTTTAATTGGATGGTAAAATTCGTGATTTTCTTATTGGTTTTGAACGTTTTAGGTTATTTGTTTACTCTAATCAATTATTGTTTAGTTTTTGTTTCCTTTGTTTTTTCTTTCGCTTTATTGTTATTGATTTTATTATTTATATGAATTGATTGTGGTAGAATCAATTTTACAGCTGAGTGACTTATTCGTTTTAATCAACTATGATTTTGTTTTCGTTCCCTTTTGCTTTTGCTTTATAGAAAACTTGAAGATGTTTTCTGTATTGCCGCTTTTAGAAATGGAAATTGTTTTGTTTTACTTCTTGTTTTGTGCTTGCTACTTGCAGTTTGTATGTTGCATTTTGCCTGTTAAACATTGTTAAAAGTAAAGCAAAAGAAAAAGCAAATGGCAGCTGTAAAATCAGAATTAATTAAAAATGGAGGAATAACTTAAAACACAACATTGACTCTAACGCAGTTGATTTATCAAGTAAATTCATATATTTTTCCGGAGAGTATTGCATGTCTGATTTTAGAATTTTGTTATGGGAAAATAATTGTTGAGCCCAGTGTTGGATTATTTGACTCTTAGATCGAATTAAGGAATGTGTTTCATTTGATAAGTTAAAGCAACTTAAGACAAGTTGAGTTTGCATTTCCTTTTATTGCATGTATAACTTATGATCTTCTTAAAGAATTGACTGGATATATGTGGTTGACTAGACAGCTGTGATAACTGGTTTTTCTGCACTACCGTGGCTTGTTAAGCCATTGTATGGGTTTATTAGGTACGACTCTGTTAATTTACTATTTCTGTTTCTAATCATCTCTGAGAATTTTGAAGTATTTATTTCATCTCTAGATTTGCTTTGAGCAGTACTTTTTTTTGGCAGTGATTCAATCCCACTGTTTGGTTATCGGAGAAGGTCATACTTGGTTCTTTCGGGACTTCTTGGTGCTCTATCATGGATTTTGATGGCCACCTTTGTTGATGGCAAGTATGGTGCTGCATTCTGCATACTTCTTTCATCTTTTTCTGTTGCCTTCTCTGATGTTGTAAGTTTCTTCTTCTTTCCAGAATTTTTAAGTTATTCACTTAAAGATTAACTATTTCTATCAAGGGCAGTTTAGGGTTCTATGATTTCTTATATTTTTCTTGTGATGTTTGTTTTTCCCATGATAACGTTGATATGTATTCCAAGTTAGCTACATTTCTAATCCAAACTGTCTATATATCCAACCTTTGTAAGAGAATGTTGCCTGATCCTTTGCCTATATTTGTTAATCATGAATTGGTGTCAGGCTAAGGTGTGATTTAGAATAAACAGTAAGTTAATTCGTTTGCAAGTCATAAAGGAGCTCAGAGCCTGAGACTTTGTGCATGCTTGAGCTCAAATGCAAAGCAATAAAAATTCCTTGAAATCCTGCTCTAACACATTCATCAAAGTTCAAACAAAAAAGAAGAAACTTTAGTAGATTTTGAATTTTTGTGACTTATTGTTAGGGCATGCCTTATTTTCCGTTGACAACTTACACATGACTGCATGAGTGTTCGTGCCTACAGTCCAATCAGAAGCATTTTGAATGTTAGCCTTAAAACGATTCTTTGTTCAGCTGTCATGCTATTCATATTCTGTGAATGTTCCTGAATTTTGTTTGAAATTGATGTATTGTGTAGGTTGTAGATTCCATGGTTGTGGAAAGGGCACGTGGGGAGTCACAAAGCGTGTCGGGTTCTCTTCAGTCTCTATGCTGGGGATCTTCAGCATTTGGTGGAATTGTGAGTTCCTATTTTAGTGGCTCTCTGGTGGAAGCTTATGGTGTAAGGTATTTAGGGTGATTTATGGATGACTGTATGGTATAATTTACAAGGACAAAAGACAATTTTTGGCTAATCATTTTATAACCGATTTAATGTCTCAGGTTTGTTTTTGGTGTCACTGCATTATTACCACTGATAACATCTGCTGTTGCTGTTCTTGTAAAAGAACAGCGGGTGCTTGGCCCAGCAAGAGTGTCAAATGTTCTTTTTGGAAACTCTAACTTTCTTGAAAGCTCAAAAGAGAACATTATTCAGTTGTGGACTGCATTCAGACAGCCCCACGTATTTCTTCCCACGGTTTTTATTTTCTTGTGGCAGGCAACACCACACTCAGACTCTGCCATGTTTTTCTTCACGTATGTTCTTTTACTTTGTTTATAATTCCTTGTCATGTAGTTTTTGTGTCTCAAACAAAAGGTTCTTTTGATTTCAGAACAAATAAACTGGGTTTCACCCCGGAATTTCTAGGCCGTGTCAAGCTTGTTACTTCTGTTGCATCGCTGGTTGGAGTTGGACTGTATAATGGATTCTTAAAATACGTTCCATTGCGGAAGATTTTTCTTGTGACAACAATTGCTGGTTCAGTTCTTGGAATGACTCAAGTTTGTGTTTTGATTTACTTTTTGCATAAAGTTATTTAAGATCATTTGCATACTGTGCTCATGGCTTTATATGTCTATTTATAAATTTTGTAGGTCTTTCTTGTCACTGGATTGAACCGGCAGTTTGGAATCAGTGATGAGTGGTTTGCAGTTGGGGATTCCTTGATTCTAACCGTTCTTAGTCAGGTAATCGAATGCGTTTTTGCTTTTATTTATAACTACAGTTTGGAACTTGATCTTACTGTGTTGATTTCAGATATTAACCCTCAGATTTCCATTATCCGGATCCGTTTTACTTTTATGGATAATGGATTTGGATATCTATTATTTGAATCTACTTTATTTTTGCGGATGCGAATCCACTATTTGCTTTAACAAGGCACACACCCTGCATATACACAGTTGTTTGAACTTGAAACCTTTAGGGCAAACAACACTCACAACACTACCTTTTACCTCTAAGGTCGCTTGATGAGTTCGACAGATAATTAATTTGCATTTGGATTTAGATGGCTTTTCTCTTATTATAAACGATTTCGAAGTTTATAATAGTTTGCGAGTTCGGATTCAAACTTTAGTTCTTAATGATGACTACATGAATCAATTGAGTTAAGTTCGGGATTTATAAACTCGATATTTGCAGGCTTCTTTCATGCCGGTTCTCGTACTTGCAGCAAAACTATGTCCGGAAGGAATGGAAGCAACACTATTTGCAACTCTGATGTCCATATCCAACGGAGGCAGTGTCCTTGGGGGTCTGATAGGCGCCGGTCTGACCAAGGTATTCGGTGTAACGAGGGACAAGTTCGATAACTTAGCCGCCTTGATAATCCTCTGCAACCTCACCTCGTTGTTGCCTTTGCCACTACTTCGCCTTCTTCCTCGGGACGATTCCGACACTGCTCCTAAGGTAAAAATGTAGATAGCGAGATGAAATCCAATTGAACTTCGGGTTGTTTTCTTACCTACTCTACTAGTTTCGTCGGACACCTTTTCCTCCCCACAATGTTGAAGCCAAAGCTCTTTAACCATAGATTACAATGTAAAAACGTCAAGTCATGGATTTGACAATCCGGTTCGTATTATACGTAACGTGATTACAAATGATAGTATATTTTCTAAAGATTTATAACTATTTAACAATTAATACTCAAATACCTCTGCAGTTGTAGGTATTCGAACTCATGATCTTTAAGAATAATAACTATTTTTTTTTCTTTTTTGATTGTCCTCTTAGTTCTAAAGCTTCGTCTTGGCTAATCTGGACCAATCCGTATTGAACACTTGATTTCGGTAGGTAAGTTTCCAAGTAGGGATTTTTCTCGATTTATCCCGAGCATATTCCGAGCATTTCTCTCGATTTATTCCTGATTAAAAGTTAATTGTTTACGTCCATATATATATATAGGATAGGTCATTTTTAATTAATTGATAATAGATGATTAATTGATATCCTTATTAAAGTAATTTGTAAAAGAATATAGTTTGTTTGATTGATACAGTATCTTAAATATAACTATAATATATAAAAGTGCTCTAATGAAGCTTTAATAGAATCGACAAATATATTAAAGATTCTATTATCATAAATGTGGAAGTCATGATTGTTGCAGAGGTAACAATTATGATGACAATGATAATGAAGCATGGGAAATGGTAGGGTATAAATTGATGATTAATAATTTTAATTAAGTTATAATCAAGCAATAAGCACTTCAACTTATTTTGACGGCTTTTGATTAATAACCACTTTTGGTAAATTTGTGGAAACCCCCTCTAAAGTCTCAAACTGAAGTTTTGGACCTCTTGAATTCACTAGCGTCGGAAAATTTTTCTTTCGAGCCCAGATGCTAGAAAGTTTGAAAAGGAAGAAAAAAGAAATATATCCTGATTATACATTGATCAAATAACAGAGATTATAAATCGAACTAAAATAAGATTAAAACTTTAATTTGAGTTTTATCGATTTTGAGAAAAATCAAATTGCTACGAAAGAATAGAAGAGAAAGAGGATGTTTCGTGCTATCTATGTGGAAAATAACTATCAACATGACAACATTAAAGATTAACGTTTGAATGAAATGAACGAATAAAATTTGAAAAATTAATGATATAAATAATTTTTTTATTATTAGGTGAACAAAACACATAAACACTAAAATTTAGACAACTAAGTATGCAGTTTACTCTTCTCTAAAAAATCAATTAAATGCACATATTGAATTCTAAAAAAAAATATCATCATTAGCCTATTATGCATCTCTCACTAAAAGTGAAAAATCAAATTATCAACTTATGATTTGTGTATTTATTTAGTGTTTATTTTAATTTTAATAATATTTCGTTTGAAGTTTGATATTGGTCGAAATCCGATCCTATCATATTGGATCGGGTCGAAATCTATTAGATTCGGGTTAAATTACCATCCTAGACACGCCAATCAGATTTTAAATCATTTAATGATGTTACTGTCACGTCTTAAAAATTGTATATTTGAATATGTTTTGAACGTACAACGGTTTTCGATTTATACTCAATAATTTTATCAGATTTAAGGTTTAGGTTTAAGATTTAAGGTTTGTATATATTTATATAATCCTTTCAAATTATTTTTTAATATCGTATATGTATCGTGTATTCGTATTTACTGCGATATTACTCGAAGGAAACGGCCGGTGCCCATCGGGACATTTAACGGCAACACCGTGATGGCCATTGGAATTGCTGGACGTCTACCGGGCAATTACTCGCATGTTAGGGTTGCTATGGCCTCAGCAACCCCATGTGCTTGACCATGGCTTGTCTGTGGACCTCTAAATCATATGAACCCCTATTTAAATTAAATTGTAACTTCGAATATATATCATAATATTAATAAATGCAATTATACACGTAGCAAACATGATCATAAATATGAGGTAAATATCGTTAATGATAATAATACGATCGTATCGTCATGTCGAGACGATATCTATTTAAATCCCATGGCTAGAGAGCATGGGATCTTGTTGCTTTTAGGACAATGTTTGACCGGTGTTGGGCAGTTCACATGGGGTCAGCTGGACATTGTGTTAGCCGATACCTTAAGTTGACAAAACTTATCCATGGGTAGGAACATAAGTCGGTCGTGTCGGGTTTATATTTTCTGACGTATATTTTAGGATAACGAAATAAATCTCTTTCTAAATTTAGCCGGGAATTACGTTACTGTCTATATGTAGAGATTTTTACACAGGGATTTATTTACATGGATTACTTTCCATTACAGACGCACGTATGAAAACTGCATATGATGACTGTTCAACTATATATTTATTTATTTATACAAGCATTGGATTTTTATCTTTATTTTTAATTTTTCTGACTACCGGAGGTCTTCTACGGAAGCTGTTCTCAACCTGGTGTTGGGGGCAGCCTACTACCCTACCTCCCCCTTACCCCATTGCATATGGGAATAGGGTTTCGTTGTTGTTGTTGTTGATAAGAGATAAAGAGAGAAAATTTTGCATTTATATTAAAAAATAAGAATACAAAAGGATTTATAGTTTTCGATTTATTCGAATTAGTTTCTAATCTTAACCTCTAGTATCTATTTATAAATAAAATTCGAATAATCAAAACTCTAATAAATTTCGTATTATGCCATCAGCCGATGGTGACAAAAAGCTTATGTGATTTTCTATGTGCGAATAATGTATTGAAAATGAACCCAGCAAACAATGCCAAATGAAATGGATGATTGTAACCACCCCATGTGTCGAGATTCCTGGGTTGAATTCTTGCTTAAAAAACTGGCTAAAATACACCACCATTGCTCTTTGGAACTCAGGGTTAAAGTGTCTACAAACACGTGAATCCTTGCACCAAAAAGTGCTTAACCTTTTCCCTATTCCACTCCATTTAATTTCGGATAAGGTTTGAAGGTGGGTTTTCAGGGTAAAGTACACAAAGGGTCCCTGATAATAAGGTACAAGTCCCTCGACTATTAGAAGTTATAATATGATACTCTGACTATAGAGTGTTGCTTTGTTAAGTCACTCGACTATTAAAAGTTATAGAATGATCACCACACTATTTATTATGTTACAAACTCGTCCTTTTTTGTTAAAAAATGGTGAACATTATCATGATGACTGAGATACGATAGTCGTTTGAGATTCTAGGATCAGATTTTATCATATCACAATTAGTAGGTTAACGTTCAACTCATGATATCGTCAATTTTAACGGAAAAGGACGAGTTTTGAACATAATAAGTAGTCGGGAGACTATTTTATAACTTTTAATAATCGATGGACTCAATATAGTAACACTCTATAACCAGAAGACCATTTTGTAACTTTGAATAGTCGATGGACGTAATAAAGCAGTGCCCTATAGTTAGGTGAGCATTTGTGTACTTTACCCTTTTTTATGGGTTCGAATGCATTTAAATTTTTGAAAAACAAATAAGTTAAAAAATTATATTTAAAGTTTGTTCTTTTTTTATTATTAAATAGTCTATGATAATTATAAGATAATATTTGTTTAAAAATTTATATTTAAAGTCACATGTACGACACGGATCAGTCAATACAAAACACTAACCCTAAGAATTGAAAGGACACCAAAAAAGTTTGTTTTTATCATGTTAAGTTGATTACAAAGTAGTATTTGTTCTAAGTTCTCTGAATTATTTGACAATAAACGCTCGATCACCCAGCTACAGTTGCTGGTACTAGAACCCATGACTTCTAAGAATGACAATAATTCTTTTAACAATTGAGGTAAGTTGGTTAGTGCGTATTCTGATACAAGTAAATGACATTTTAGGTCAGCTCAGTTGGTAGAGCACAAGGTGCTTAACCTTGAGGTCGTGAGATCGAGTCCCACGGAGGGCATTTCGTAATTCGGAGGTCTCTTACGGAAGCTGCTCTCAACCTGGTGTTGAGGGTAACCTACTATCTTACATCCCCTTACCCCATATATATGGGAAAAAAGGACAACCATTTCGTAAAAATTGTTCATGTCTCATATATTGAAAAATCAAAATCAAGTGAGATGATAACCAATTGAATGGTCTACCTTTCATTACATGCATGGTCCATTTTTTTTATTTTAAATAATCAAGCAAGATCTCCCAAATCCAACCAAGTGGAGAGTAATCAAAGATCTAATTAATCACTTTCCATAGATTTAGAGTGTAATTAAAGTATTATATAAAATATTTGACTTATTATTCTATGCACAGATGGTGAAAAAATATAAACAATAATTGAACCAACTTAATTAAATACTAATATCTTGTGGCCTCATATGTTTTCCCTTTTTTTCTTCTTGACAAATTGTGCCAATTTTATTGATCAATCTAACTTTTTTTTTTATTTTGTTTAACTGACAACGACACCGATTTTAATGCTGGTTGTCGCCTGTCGGTTATATTTTTTCTTTTTAATTTTTTTAATAAGAATAATTATGTATTTGTGACACGTTCTCTGTCTTTATGACACGTTTATCTCTGCCTTTGTAGCATGTTTTTCTTTGTCTTTTGGTAGCTTACGGTTTTTTACCGTTGTTTTGTTTATCTTTGTTTTTTAGGGTTGGATTTGACATCGTCATGACTGATCAAGATGACGCTTATTTGTTATCATTGATGATCTTCCCTGCCTTGGACATGCGATTTGATTTGGATGCGCGTTTTGCGTTCGTGGATAGTTTTCTCACGTCGCTTGACTATGATTTGCGATTTGTCGGTGGTCTTTCAATAGCTTCATCCCCTTTTTTTATTCGTTTATTGATGCAGTCAGAGCTTTTCGTATCTTTATTTTATTAAAAAAAATTAGGTTTTTTAACATTTCCTTCTTTTGTCCTTATGTGGTCTAGGTTACTAGTTTTTGTCTCAAAGGTAATAGGAAAATGTCATAATTATATTTTAGGTTTACGATTATGCTTGTAAATGTTCATTGTAATTTGATATATTTTCTACTTTTAATAAAATTAACGAGAAAAACACTAATATCTTCTTTTCTTAATTTAATATTAAAGAGTTATAGT